ATAATCAACAACCAACTGGTCCAATGCCATCGAACTTTAATAACATGGTAAATCTATCGAGCCTCATTCTTCAATCAACAAATATTGGTCCATTTCCTGAAAATTTAGACAAATTCTCATCATTAAAAAACCTGTACGTCGTAATTTTATACCTACGAAAGAAGTTGATTTTCTAATTTATCATTTAAATGAATATTTATAAACCGATTTATTATACAGAACATTAGTTAATAATAAACAATTTGGCAATTCGATTCCTGCATCAATTGGATCCTTGTCACTACAATCATTGTAAGTATTTTATTCGAAATAACATTGATTCATGTTCACGGGAAGATTTAGAATAACACATCCTTTTGACTATTTCCTCAAAGAACGGTATCTTCTCAAGGATTATCGGGCAACATTCCTGATTTTATTGGCAACAGTAAATCGTTACAATCTAGTCTTAATAATTTGTATGCATATTTTAATTCTTTTGTGATTATTTTATTTATTTACGCTTCGCATTAATTGACTATCGATGTTCGAATAGGGATTTAAGCTTGAATCAGATTAACGGAAATCTTCCCAGCTCTGTGCTTCAATTAAAAAATTTGGTTACACTGTAAGTGGTTATATTAAAAAATTGAAATAAATTCTTTACATTAATATTTTTTTTATTCGTATTAGAAATTTGGGTAATAACAATCTTTCGGGAAGCATAGATTCACTTGGCTCCGCCTCATTCCAAAAAACGCTCGCCAGTCTTGATTTAAGTAGTAACACATTGTCCGGCTCCATTCCATCGTCAATTTCACAGTTCTCGAATTTGAATATTTTGTTACTGCAAAAGAATAAATTCTCGGGAAGTATACCAAATTCTATTGGGCAATGTAGTAACTTGTCCCAATTGTATTTAAATAATAATCAGTTGAGCGGGAATATACCTGATTCGATTGGGTCATTGAAAAAATTGATTACAGTGTAAGATTGGATTTTTTTTTGCTTTGCATTTCCTATTTATAAAAATTAACATGTTATTTTATCATAAAATTAGAAATTTATCTGGAAACTCGCTGTCTGGTTCTATTCCAACGCAAATGTGCCAACAAAATTATAATCAGTGTGACCTTACACTAAATAATTTGTCAAGTAATCAACGATGTCAGGCCTGCCAAACATAGAAAAAGCATTGTGTTGTGGGATAATTATTGGGTTCTTTGATTTCTTATTTATTTATTGGGTTCTTCGATTCTTATTTATCATTGGGTGAGCAAGGACATTTAATTGTTAATAAAAAAAATAGAACACTCATTCGTTCATTTATTTGTAATGCGTATGATCAACCTTTTGAGGGATCTGAGTAATAAGAATCACACGCATATAAGCTCATAGTCTCTCCGATTTTAATATTTTCGACCATTGGAGCTCTTTCTATAGCAATCATTCCCCTTTCTCATATTCATTTAGGTATCAAAGATATATATGAATATAATATTGTATATTATAATTATAATAAATATTTAACAAGGGACAGAATTAATAACTTTTTCACCTTAATCAAAAAAAATCTACAATGAAAAGCGTCAACAAATAATAATCACGAAACTGAGTTTGCTTCTGCTTCTAATTCTAAAGCCCGTTTCCTTCTTAACTCTTTTAACACTTCAAACACCGCCATACCAAGTGAAGCTTGAGGAACAGCCCAAGCGACTCTTGCGATCATTCCACGACCAAACGCAAAAATTCCTCCCTCATGCATATACATGTTCCTTATAATCTGCCATGGTGATTTAATGTTCTCCTCCTTTTTATATGTGACTTGCCACCGTGTCTTTATGACATCCACCACATTCGAGACTGACGCGGCAATTGCAGACGCGATCGCGGAATATATAAAATAACTGGAGAATGCCAAAGCAACATGTGGATGAACCTTTGGTGCTGGTTTTCTCGGTAACCCATATTTATCATAATGTTGTATGTTAGAGAATTCTTCGATTCTTTTCACTTTTTCCGCATCACTTTTTGCTCCTCGTGCTTTGAGTTTCTCGTAGATTACAAAATAGATTACCGTCTGTGGAACGAAGACTCCCAGCGTTAACCAATAGCCACGATAAAATCCTTTTATGCCCTCAGTCTCCATTATTGCCCGTGATAGAGATAGCGTTGATCTAGTGACGTTCAAGTCCACTGGTGGTGGCGGTGCTATCTCT